TATCATTTGAACATGTGAAAAGAACATAGTTTTCCAGTATAAACTTATCACCTTGATTGTGAAAACATAGAATACGGAAATATAATTTATCAAACCAAACATTCAAATAGGTGCATAATAGAAAATCTCTTATAGAAACTGCTTTTGTTTTTTTATAGGAGATGTGGCTATCTATCTCACAAAGAAGCTTTCTCTGCTTCCAGGGTACAAAATATTGTCCAGTTAAGAATACTAACCTAAGCTATGTTTGACACAATCCAGTATAAACATATGTACATAAATTAGAACTCTGTAGCAATTCTGCACAATGACTTTGAATAAAAGCTTCTAAACCTATATTACTAGATTTTAAATTTAAATAGGTGCTAAATTGAAATACTGTGATTCCTAACACACATTTCTGAGCATGTGCAGTTATATTTTTTATTAAAGAAAGCTAGCAGGAGCTTATGGAAATACATACTAATAGAAGAATATTTAGTTTGTGAAGTCAAACAGCAAACATAGAGAATAAAAAATTTACAATTATCCGTATTTCATTATTTATTTTCCATGTTGGTATCTGTTTTGCATTATCCAGTGTAAAAGGACAGTTTTTTTTATTGCACCAATAAAGACTGTGTACACATACAATGAATGTCTAGCCAGGGACACCACAGAAATGGACACAGCCTGGAACTTGCATATTCAAAGGTTCAGCTTGTATATATTGTTCTGTCACCATCTGCAATCAAGATTCAGCTGCACAATCCACTGTTATCTCTACAATCCCCCATTTTGATCATCTACCTTTGAATATCAATTTTCTGTTACCTGGTTACACAGACCTCAGCAGCTCTTTTCCTCTATTCCTGTAAACTGGTTTCCTTTTGACTGTGCTCTGTTTTTACCCTAAGGCTAAAAGCTCACATTCTTTATGCATTGCTCATTACAAACCATCCATACTCTGTTAGGAAAATTTTGAAGACAATTAATATTGGAACAATTTTCCAAAGGAGAGAATCCAGGTCTTGCCTCTATTGAGCAAACTGTGCACACAGCCCAGAGATGTCCTTATGATTTTATTCCAGCTACTGTGGGCTCAGCTGCCCACAGGATATGGCAGGTCAGTGCAGAAGGTGCTGTAAGGAAGAGACAGTGATATCAGGCACAAAGTAGGCAGAGGTAATGCCAGGCCTCGGTGGCAGAGAGCTGTACTTTGGCATGGGTGATGACTACAGAGCCACACTGGGTCACTGGTGTGGGCTGCCTCTAACAACATCACCTGTCTGCACTGCTGGGGAGAGCTCGCTCCTCTGCACGTGTGTAGGGGACACTTTTAGTGTTGGTTGGATTTATTAAATGTTTGCAGGGAAAAAAAAAAAAATAAAAATTGCAAAACAATAAGTGTTCTCAAATTCTACTTCTGCCCCTGCTTCATCTAATATCCAACATCAAAATTACTACGGTTCTATTGTCATGTTTATTAATCTTACCACTAGCTACAGCTGTTGACTTGTCATCAGTCATGTCCAAGATCTTTATTTGACTTTATTCAACAAATTCCTTTTCTTTTTGCTGCTTTCAAATGCCAGTGCTCTCACGTCATATATAATTGTCCTCTCCTAAATCAGCCAAGTTATCAACATATATAAAAAAAAAATCAGCCTGTTTCAAGTCATGCTCATAATTTTGCAGTACTGATGGTGATGACAGAGCACTGGAGACAGTGGTCTGTAGAGAGACTCATCCGACTGCAGGTGGTGCAGATATTTACCTCCTTGTATGTATCTCTCTTTTGTGACCCACAAACTTGTCTGCAACATCTTAGCAATTCCATCCGGGTTCAAGATGCTTCATTGCTCCCTAGAAGTCCTCTTGACAGCACACTTTCTTAAACCCACGAGAAAATGTGTTTGCATTTGCATTGTGTCACTTAGCAATATAACAGTGTTACACAAAGCTGCCTCAGAATGCTGGAATTAGCCATGAACAGAGCTGAAAATTACCAAAATGGAGGCCTTTCTAAGGAAAAAAAGACAACCTCTGACTTCAAAAAAAGTTGAAGGCATTTCAAAATACTCCTTAGTGATGGACTACACAAAGGCAAATAGCAACTGATCATTCTTTAGTTAGATGAGCTGTTTGTGGAAGAATTATATTGTGAGGAAATTCAGAAGTCATCCAGAATCCTCAGGAGTAACCAACAAGCAGTTGCTGACAATGTTTCCAGAGAATGATTTAAAACAGGAGATTGAAGAAATAAGTCAAAACCTTTGTGAATTAGTTGCATTGGGAAGCTGAAAACATTTCCAAATAAGAAACAAAGCAGCCACATAATTAACTATCATAAAGTTAAAATAAGTGGATGGTGCCTTCACCACCTTCAAAATCCATCCATCTTTGGTACATTTACAGAAGTTTTTAATTTTGCAAAGTAAACCCGAAAATAAAAAAGACATTAGCCGAAAAACAAGTCTAGTTTGTATCTAAGGTTTTCATTTCATCTACCACTTTAGCCTGTGTATCACATATCTATACTAGGAATAATTAAAATACAGTGCACAGTATTGCATTAGCTCTATTAAACAGGTGTGCAACTAGAAAATGTCCTGAATAGATGGATTTTTACAGATACTGTGTAGGACACACTGTTGAGGATGCTTCATTTAGGACATTTCAGAAATGAGGCAATACACATCACATTGCTCGAGCAACAACAAAGTAAATAAAAATACCCCATGTTACCATGCATAATGTTATCACTCCTTTATTTTTCCTACTTAGTGGAGAAAAAAAATCTACTTTTACTGATGTCAAATTTGCACTATGTAAGTTATGTCTACAGAATACTGACTGTCATCCAGGGCTCTTTTATTTCACTGCTTAAAGCTAAAAATAAAAACATTTATGTCACCCTTTAGGTTTTGAGCATACCCTTTAGTATGAGACCCCTGCATGAAAATCCATTTTTTTACTTACTTCTACATTGAACTTTTGGTAGGATTTATTAGTGTGAGTTTTATTTGGAATAAAATATTGATTTTTAACATTTCAGAGTGGAAGAAAATTTCTTGCTTTATTTTTTTTATTTGTCTCCCCATCTGGCATGTAAATTTTAAAATTATCATGTCACCTTGCTTTAAATCCTTTTTCCCATTTTTCCAGTCTTTTCGTGTAATTAAGTTTTTTCTTAAATCTTAACTAATATCCTTTTCAGTCTTTTAGACAAAGCTACCCTTCAGAGAAGGGTAAAAAAAACCAATGATGTTCTACACTGATCTTTTTGCTCAGATGACATTGTAATCATTGGTAGCCCACTTGGCACCTGTCTGGGAATTTTTTTATACATCTGCTTTATGTTTTTGCCCATCCCTGCACACTGAGACAGAATTTTCCTCTGCACATCCTGCAATGATGACAAGGAGCTTCTTGAAACCCCCCACCCCCATCCATAACTCAAGTATTCAGTTACATTATTTTTTTCACCTGTTTTTCTAAGATCCCTCTCTCATGCACTTTTCAAATTATTAACTTAATCTTTAAATTGTCATGTCACTAACATTTATGATGTATATAAATAATGAATTCTACTTCAAACATTAAATAACATAACTCCTCGGCCTTATCAATGTAGAAAAAATATTTTATTCATACCTTTCACTCAGCACATTGCTGAGACAATTTCTAAATGTTAGCACACTTAGTCTTACTAGTTTTCTTAATTGCACTCAGTAAAGAACTCTCTCAGAACCCTTGGGAAAATCCAAATAAATTAGATCAAGCATTTCTCCTTCATCCATTACTTTGATGGAATGTGCAAAGAATTCTAACAGAACAGAGAAGGTTTTCCTTCAGCAAAGATTCCCTGGCTTCCTTTAGCAGAAATCGATCTAGATATTTGTTCATATTTCCATTATTGATATATAATGATATATAATATATAATTATATAATATATTCTATCAATTTAGCTAAACCTGAACTCAGACTTACTGGCCAGTAGGATAATACTAGTTTGCTGGGAAAAAAAGGCAGAAAAGCTAAACAATATCCAAATTTTAATATTCAATTTTTTCAATAGGCAATTAAGTGCTAATAAAACTTGCATCAGCTCAACCCCTTTAATTCCTTATAAGCTTTGTGTGTAGCCAATCAGCCATCTGATTCTGGTTTCTTTTCAAATTTCTCTTATTATTTCCTTTATTGCCTCAGCTTAATAAAATAGCTCATTTTTGCTTTTTTAAAGTGCAAGATACTTCATTTTCTGTAGGAGACTGCATACAAATAAATATTTCAATTTCTCTGTAAGAGTTCTTTTGAAATCTGTTCTTTCAAAAACAGTGGGTCTGATGACATTTTCATGAGTTTTTCTGGTTCTGATAGAATTGAAAAAGTCTTTGCTTTCTTAAATCTTCAGCCATAAGGTCTTCAGACTACTTGATAAAATATATATTCTCCATCTTCCATTTTTCTTGTCATAATCTGTTTCCTGTTTCAATAGTTACATTTGCCTGGAATTTATCTGGAAGAGGCTACATTTGAGGTGAAACAAACTCTTAACCATCACAACTTTTTGCATTGATTTTTAAAATTTTTCTTAACCATCTGAGACTGATGTGACATTTTAAATCCTGTTCATGTGGCAATTCAAAGAACTACTATGATTAATTTTATGGCCACAAAAGAAAATTCAAATATCAACCTTATTACAAGGAATTACAGGGGGACACCCAAATATTATCACATACAGAAAAAATTTTGCAACTCAATTATAAAGTGTCGAAATAGAATAAAAGAAACTGTATAAATCAATTTTAAAATTATATTTCTGCACTAACTATTTTGATCAGGAATTCCCCACTCAGGTATCATTTTTGCAAAGTTTAATTTTTGTTAGACCAGATTTATCTTTTTTTCCCCAACCATATCTCTTTCTGCTCCAGACGGTTATAGAAGATATGATTTTCAACATTCTATAAAAGGTTTGTTTACAGTAATTTGATTTTATTATTTTCCTACCAGAATAAAATGATCCTAATGTTTCCTTTCTTCCAGAAAGCTCTGGCAGACTTTCCCCAGTCTGGGTAAGGCTTGTCCTGAAGCATCATATCTGTGACCTATAGGAAAAGAAGAAACAGTAGACAGTTACACTGGTGTTACATAAGGAAGTGCTAGCAAGGACTTCAGGAACATTTTTATTTTGTCTGGCACACCTGCATCAGTTCTGATATGATAACAGACAGTAGAATAATAGTAGGTCCAGTGTTATTTGCAGTCAAGATAACAAATATTGGGCTACATATTCTAGAAGTGCATGCAACTCTTTGAAAAACAATGAAACCTGTAGAGATCCAAAGATAAGAAGATAAGAGGAACCAGTCTAAAAGTTACAGCAACCTACAGTACGTGAGTTACATTCCCCTGTGGCTCTGAAGCTTTCTGGCCCAACCTGGGAGAGGGGAACCACTTCCCTGAGAGCAGCATCAGCAGAATTTCCATTCTTGAAATCAGAACTGCAGCTAGTGAGTGGAAGCCTATGCATTAAGCACTATATAACATTTATAATGTCCTCTCAGTTCCTGCTATCAGTATAAAAATCACACTTGGGACTGGCAATAGAAAAAACACCCCTTAAAACTTGCAAAAAATTTTAAAAGTATGAAATATTTATTCTCATATTCATAATTCTTATCTAAAGAGACCATCTGTTTCTCTGTCCAGAGACTCATATATATGCAATATTTCTGGGTGGTACATGAAAGTATTAAAAATTACTTTCAGCTCAGTGAGGGAGGTGAATACCCCTCAGGCACCTGCTTCTTTGGGAAGCTGTGTTTTCACAGCTTCCATTTACTTCAAATTAACTGTATTAAAAAGCACCAAAAGTTACATCACAATAATCTCATAAATTCTGCTGTGCAAAAGATCCAAAGTGGAAAACCTATCCATTTGTAAAGATTTATTAAATAACTGATCAAATAAAAGAAGTGGGGGTGACTACCTGCTTCAAAATGCAGATAAGCAAACCAAATTCTGTCTCACTGTTACCAGTACAGAGTGGGAAATTGCTATGTGTTTTGATCAGAATGAAAATAAATCTTAAGGTTTCAGAAGGAAATAACTTCAAACTGAAAACAAAATTTCACAGATGTTTTAAAACCCAGTTTATCATCCAGAGTGTAAGCTACCACTTTCAATCAATGGCATTAAGAGTGTTTATAAAAAAAAAAAAATGTGGCCAATGAAAAATAAAAAATGGATTCATTTGCTAAATTTTGGCTTCAAGTCCATTTGTAGTTAAAAGTACTCAGTGTATTAGCCTGGGCTGGGTCCAAAGGATAATGACTATGTTGAATAAATAGAAATGCACATTCTAGAATTTTATTATTCCATTAAACCTAACCTTAACAAAAACCAGACAATATCCTAAAAATACCACCTTTAATAGCTGTTTCATGTGGGTAAATCTTTTCTTTGATCGTCAAGCTATAATACTTTTTTATAAGGTCCCAATTATCTAAATAAATATTTCAATAAATATTTTATGCTGAACAAGAGCTCTGTAAAGATTCAATTCATTACTTTAGTAACATTTTTTTCCTTTTAGGAAGAGTCTACATAGTAATGAATATTTGCAAAGAAGAACAGATATTTCAAGAGGTTTTATTCAAGCTTCAAAATAGTTTCTCCAGATACCTTCTGGGAAATTATTATATTTGGGAGAAGTATGCAATTTGCAGCTCTATGACCAATTACTAGAGAGGCATGTTTCATAAGAATGACATTTGAGATGGAGATATTTTCTGAGGAAAATGGCAAGACGAGGCAGGAAATGTTCTTTAAAATATCGAATAGTTGGTCTTTCATCTCCCAACTTTGGTGTTTATTTAAAGTCATATCACCAGATCAATGTCAGGTCAGTTGCAGCTAAATTGGCTGAAGCAGAGACAGTCATTAAAGGGATGCATTCCATAAAGAGAAATCCAATTACCTTTTTCATTAGAGAAATCAAATTCATTTTCTGATTTGGTCAAGGACAGTCACTGTAGAAAACAGCTCACAGGAGAGAAGCACTCAAGACTGTCATACAGCACACAAGTTTTAGATATATATCAAATGCCCCTTGTTTTAGAAAAATATAAATTTCAATTTAATTTTCAGAACTTCATATAAAGAAATGTGTGTGTTTTTCTTTATTCATATTTCACAATGTAATTGTTGCACAGCATACATTTATCTCTGCTTTACTGAACTGTGTTTGAAAACATTGCTGATATGTGGGAATAAAATAAAAATTGAACACTTTAGTCTGCCTGCATCTTACATAATCAAGGTAAAATAGGGAAAGCCAACTACAGTGCAATTAAGGAATTTATTTTTTTCTTGAACTAGGTGATGCAATATACTTTAATCAACAATTACACTGCTTCAGTTCAAAAAGGAATGGCCCCAAATATAGACAGTGTATACACTTTCATTTTTTTATTGTCTCATGACAGAAGCAGTTACACTGTATTAAATTGCAAAAGCAAAGCTGTATCACACACACTGCCTGACTTTATCAGTTACACAAATGCCACAAAAAAATTCATTTCCATTAATAATTAGTATGTCTGATATACATTACGGAATCCTAATTTTCATTTTACATGATAAAATATGACTTTATCAGCTATTCATATTACTCACTTTATATTAATTACACAGCTAACTCATAATGGTTTAAAAAAGATATATTGCTGTCATTGATAGCAAAATGTTGTGATTGATATTTTTCTGTTACAGAAAAACAAAATTGTTCCTTTTGATATGATATCTTTGATGTTTGATATAATCATTAAACTACAGAAAGACTTGGGTTGGAAGGGACCTTACAGATCCTCTAGCTGCAGCCCCACCCTGGGGTAGGGGCAGGGACACCTTGCACTAGACCAAGTGGTGTAGATATGACTTGACTATACAATCATTTGAAAAATGACGTTGTATCACATAGAAGAAAGAATCTGGGATTCAAATTCATTCAGAACATGTAACTTACTCAGACAAGAAGTGCAGAAAGCAAAATCATAAAAAAACTTCAAAAAAAACCCCAACAAAAAAGTAAGATACCTCAGATACCTGAGATGTACCAAGTGGAGCAGTAAGACACATTAAGGATCAATTATTTCCTCCATGCAGTTACTCTTTGAGCCTATTGTTCAGAATATTCTGTACATACTTTACATCTCTCTGGAGACACTCATGTCAAATCAGTTGTACCTCACAGGGTTCCTCCCAGCAGAGGTAACCTCTGCATGGGGAGTGTCAGGTAAGGCAAAGTATCTCTTCTATTATAAGTTAACAGCAAGTTAACTTCCCTAAAAAGTGAATTAAAATAAAAAAGTAAATAAAATAAGTAAAATAAAAAATTACCTCATTCTTTGGTCATGCCTACAAAGTATCATCCAAATACTTCACTAGCAGGAACTATGCTATCCTCTTCAAAGCAAAGAGATAACTCACAGAAAACTGGTGTGGCACAGGCTGCTGGCCAAGCTGTTTTCATACAACAAATTGCATTTTAGAAAAGTAAAAATATAAAAGTACATGAGTTGGTTTAATAGTAGCACTTCTTCATATAAGCAGCTACAGAAACTGTTTCTTACTAGAGAAATGGACTCTGGGCTTTAGGACACAATATATACTATGCTGCAATATTCATGAAGTAGAGACAAGCCCTTAATAGAGCATTTTCTTTGCTGTATTCATACTTGGATAAATCATCAAAACAAGGTAAGAGAAGCCCTCCAGAATTCAACAGAAGGTAGAAGAATCTAAGATCCACAAGAAAAGCCTGAAAACACAAACCAAATTGTGAAATATGAAATATTTTTGTATTATTTTGATAACACAATGAGTAGTGAAAAGTCTAACGGATAGTAGGCCTCATAAAATATAAAACATAAAATATCAGTAAAGAAGCTGTTTGTGTGCCACTACTCAGCCAGAAGGATTTGACTTCATGGTGTTATTGCTGGAAAATGGAGCACACTGAATAGCTGCATTTGCCAAATGATCTACCACTGTCAAATACATGACTCAAGTACTAGAAGTTCTAATATTTTTCAATTTTTATAATTTTACAATTTTAAGTATCTTATTTTAAAACACAAACCTCTTTGTAAGTAGCACTATATTAATTTCACTTAACACTCAGCCTTAAAATAGTGCATAATTCTACTCACCCAAACTCTAAACAAGAAACATTTTCAATGCAACTGGGGGACTTCCTTGATAAGAGTGAATATCATAAATCCTAAATCTTTTGGAAATTGTAAGGATGTCACAGTGACAGGACAGCCCAGAGGGAAGTCTCCCATGGCAAGACCATGAACATTGAATTCCTCATCAAAAGAATCCATCAATAGTTTTGCAAGGACTGAACATTGCCTGTGCGTTTCTGAAAAGTATGTGAGTTTTTTTCTAGAAAAACAGGGGCTAAATCAGGTTAAAGTAATTATGTTCTCTGAAGTCAGAGTGTGAAGTAAATGAGAGCTAATGCATACCACTGAGAGGATACACTCCCCTTGCTTTGCTGTATGTGCTTTTAGGTAAGAGCTATATATAGGTGTCCCACTAACTGCACATCAATTCTTTATCTTATCTCAGTCTTTAAGTACTACACTACATCACAGTGATCATATACCAAACTAGGGAAACATTTAGTACTCAGTCATTAAAAGTTTCTATCCATCACTTTTCTCTTCTTTGAGATATGTAAAAACTGTGGAGCTGTTCACTTGATGTGTAAAAGTAACCTTTAGGGATCATATGATCCTGCCACTCCACTCAGCCCTAGTGAGGCCACATCTGGAGTGCTGTGTCAGTCCTGGTCTCCACAGGTCAGGAAGGCAAAGACCTATTGGAGAGGGTTCAGGGGAGGCCACAGCAATCTGAGGGGTCTGGAGCATCTCCCTTACGAGGAGAGACTGCGGGAGCTGGGCCTGTTTAGTCTGGTGAAGATTGAGAGGGGATCCCATTAATACATATAAATATCTCAAAGTGGGGTGCCAAGAGGATGGTGCCAGACTCTTTTCAGTGGTGCCCAGTGACTGGGAGCAATGGCCATAAACTGAGA